ATTAATTTTGAATTTATTATTGTTATTATTATTTCAGAATCTAATAATAAGGTACGACCTTTACAAATAAATACATTTAATTAATATTTTATATATTATGAAAAATTAAATACATAGCTAATAATAATAATACAGGAGGATTCATGGGATATATCAGCAGAGAGTTCTGTAAATTCAAATATTAACGTCATGCTAAATCCATTGGATGCTACAGCCCATTGGAAATTATCGCCAAACGGTTTAGAGGTTCTAATTATAATTTATTATAATATTAAATCTGGTTTTATCCTAATACTTAAATTTAAATAACCTCATATTTATTCAAAGTTAAGGAATGATTATTCGACGTTTGAGTCAATACGTGCGACGATGTCTGTTTCTTCAGGGAAATGGTTTTATGAAGTGATATTATTAACCAATGGAATTATGCAGGTTCTTAATCCTCCTTTTTTTAAAAAAAAATTTTTTTTCATTAATAATTTATTAATAATTATACAATTATTATAAATAATATTATTAAAACATAATAAAATAGATTGGTTATGCAACTAAACGTTGTATGTTTGGACCTGAAGAAGGTACAGGTGTTGGTGATGATCAAGTTAGTATATACACACACATATATTTTTATATATCATATTCTATGTTCAATGGCTCATTATATTTATAATAAATAGTATGGGTTTGCTTTTGATGGTTGTCGAAATTTCTTATGGGTAAGTGATTATAAACTTTATAATAAAATAGGTTGTTATTATTTATTATTATTATTATAACATTTTACATTATTATATATATAGGCTGGTGGTATATCTATACAATATGGAGGAAGCGAATCTTGGAAACCGGGTTATTATTTAATCTCCTTGATTCTTTTCATTCTTTAAAAATTTTCTTTAATAATAGTGTTGTTAATAATAATAACAATAAATATTTTATAAATATTATTAGGAGATGTCATTGGTGTATATATGGATGTTAGTCTGGGCTGTGTTCGATTTTATTTGAATGGAAAAGATTTGGGTGTAAAATACCCTTTCAATTTTGTACAATTTAGAAAGTTGGCTGAAAATGGATTATATCCAGCTCTTTCATTTACGTCATACCAACAAGCAATTATAAATTTTGGAGCAGAAAAATTCCGGTAAATAAAATAAATAAATATGGCAATAAAAAAGAATTTTGTTTTTTACAAAATTTTCTTTATTAATAAAATTATTTGGTTTTTTTTTAGATACCCACCACCACCATCATTTTTTTATCAAACATTTAATAGCCAGGGTCAATTGTCATCAGAGCTACGTGATTCAATACAAAGGAGAAGTTGGCGTACGTCACGTTATCGCTCCGTAATATCGAACTCTGATTGGAAGCAACAATTAGAAGCTACAGAAGAAGATTATGATGCTCAATGTTCAATTTGTTTTGCCATGCCTCCTAAAGTAACATTGGGCCCGTGTAACCATGATGGATTTTGTGTTGAATGCGCTAAAATGATGCATTCTTGGTATTATTATTATTATTATTATTATTAAATTATTTAATTTTCAATTATTATTATTATTATTATTTATTTATTTATTTATTATTTTATTATTAGTCCATTATGTAGAACACTCATTACATCTAGGAAGCCTACTAATAGTAATTCTAGCCTACCAAATACAATTACAAAACTTTCAATTTCCTCAACGTCCGCTTCATCATCCTTATCATCACCATCCACCGCCATAGTTTTACCACCAACTCCACCTTATTCACGACCTGCATCTTCTATTACTTCATTAGAACCTGATATTTCACGTGGGTTGGAACAGTGACACTATCTATATATAGTATAAGTGTATGGATAATTATAAAAAAGGTTTTAATAGAAAATATTTTAATAAATATATATATAATATTATTTTCCTTGTTATTATTTTTTTCATTGGTGGGATTTTTCTATTGTTTAGAATTTTTAATTAATATATATTTTTTAAAAACTTTCAAATTTTTTACTGATTTAAATATCAAAACTCCTCGTTATTTTCCTTCCTCACCTTTATCTTTCTCTAATCCTCCCTTAATTGTAGCAAAACCAATCAAACTTTAAAATGATAATCAATAATAAAAAATTTGAATATACTTTAGCATACATATACTATTAATATATGTGCGTGATTATTCCTCAACCAATCAATCAATTCTATTTTCTATTCATTTATATATTATGGAGAAAGATTTTTGTGTATCTGTATATAGAATATCATTCAATTAAATTAACCATAATTATTTTTATATACATTTTATTAAGTTTTACTTTTTATTTCTTTGCATAAAATTTCATCATAATAATAATATTAATATGTATTTAGAAAAAAATTTATTTTTCATATCCACCGATCTCTGAAAGGTTACACCATTTTATACTGTTTTTGGGGTATATTTTGAAAATTTTGGTACATTTTTTGCTGTCTTGATATGTGTAACCAGCCCCTCGATTTGTTATTTTTGGAGTAAATTACATTCTTTTTGAATTCTACTAATACCAAACCAATCACTTTTATTAGTAAACCAATCGCTTTTTTATATATACATATACAGTGAGTAGGATCTTGCAGGATTGCAAGTAGTTAGTTGAAGGAAATTTTATTTTGTAATTTTGTAATTTGCTAATTTTTTTTAAAATTTTATATTGTAGTAATGAATATTGAACATAGTAGTAACTCAGACATATGCAACAATTTATATAACTCAAAAGAATGGTTTAAATCAACACAAAGCACAAAACATTCCAATTTTCACAAGTATACTTTAAATGTTATCACCCTTCTGAATATTGTTTTTCATAATTTAAAGGATCATTAATTTTTAATGAGATTTCATCATAAAGTTTAGGGAAAAAAATCATTTACCTTTCCATGTGATGAGGGTATATTCCTAATTGTTTTTAAAGACAACACTCAAAGATATCCACCTGTTGGACGGTTTTATTTGTTGAAGATGAAAATTTAAGATGACAAAAGTTTAAATTTTTTTTTTATTAATTTAATATTTTTAATAATGAAAATAATTAATTAATTAAAATATATTTTAGAAATTAAAAAAATATATATGCAATTAATTGTAAAAAGGTAATCTAATTTATAGTTATTTTTTTGGCACTTTATTAATTGATTATAATTATAATATAAAAGATGATTCTCATGTTCCAAAATTTCAATTACAGTTTTTTTTTCCCTTCCACCATCTTTCAATACTTTTCTAAAATATTTACTTATTTGTATAAGATTTTTTTTTTCAACAGGACTGCATGTAAATGCTTTAATTCTATAATCATGGCAAATCACCATAAATATCATACATATGATGAATCAACACATAGATATAAGGAGTCCCATCATTATTTGTATATAATCCTTTTATATAATTTTTTTTATGTGGATCTCAAGTTGATGGTGTTAGAAATTTAGTCAATCATAATTTTGCTTGACTTTTGAAAACAATTGGATTTGTTGTAAGATCTTGTAAGGCTGTATAAAGATCATCAAAGTCATACCACAATTGATGAATAATTAATGCTCTATTTTCAGGTAAAACACTTTCCAAATTATAATTTTTTAGAACTTTTAATTTATCTTCATCCATAAGACTGGTACAATTCCGATTCCTTGAATCTGTACTTTGCCAGAATTCAAAATGTACACCAATTCTGATCATTTCTTTTTTATTTGTTCCCTTATTTGATCAGAACTTTGGTATTTTGTTTCAGATAACATTAGACTCCAAAGTCAGACAGTAATATGAAGCATTAAATGTAATTCATCTGGAACCCAATGAGTTAATGGAATCATAAAGAACAAAGGCAGATACTTATGTCCTGGTAATTGGATTTTATTATTTCCATTTTTAATCAACAGACCCTTTAGCATTGAAATAAGTTTATCAACATCATTACACAGTGATCATTAGCCTGGTGTTGGTTAATGCATTTATTAGCATGGATAAACACTTTCAAAATTTCCTGATGTTAAAAAGAATCAAAAAAAAAGATAAAAATCATAAGATTATAAAATTAAATAAAAAAACCTGTAAGATTATAAACTAATAATAAAAAAATCATAGGATTTGAATATTTATGGCAATATGACAAATTCATTTAATTTTTTGGAGTGAGGTGAAATTCTGATGGGCTAATTTGGATTTTGTACATGTGAATTGCAAATTCATTTTCATGTACAAACTGTAGGTGGAATTATAAATATAGGTTTTAAATTTTTTAATATAATAATTTTTTTAACTAACAATTATGAATCAAAAAATTTTTAAATTTTAATCAAGAAAACAATAATGATGATGATAACAACAACTTGGAAAATTGCATCATATGCAATAAATCATATAAAACAAAAAATGGTTCAGTACAACATGAAAAGAAAAAACACTTTGAATATTGTGGATATTCCTTCTCTTGTTCAATACTACTTGACACAATTTAAAGAAAGTTTAATTTACAATATTAAAAAAAAATTGACATTACATCACAAAAGTTTAGGGAAAAAAGCATTAACTATTTCATGTAGTGAGGGTATGTTTTTAGGCGTTTTTAAAAATGATTTGGAAAGATATTACCCTGCTAGAAGGTTGTACATAAGTTCATTCATTGGAGAAGAAGGTAACAAAAGGTTAGAAAATTTACTTGGTGATGAGGGTTGGTCAATTAGACATTTTGATAATAATCAATTTGCCTACATTGACATTGTTAATTTTGAGGTAAAGGTGGTATGAAAGGAAACAAAAATAGTAGAGGGGAATGGAAAAATTACAAATTCTTCTACAAATAAAGGAAGTTATTAAAATTTTAAATAATAATTTTTTTTTCAAAATTAAAAAATTTATTCCCGATTAGGAAAATTTCTATATGATCCCCAGATTATTGTTTTCCATATTTTTGTACCCCAAAATGGGTGCGCAAATTGGCGGATATGTAATAACAAAAAATTCAACAATTTTTGAATATGAGTGAACCGAATCTTGATTCTAATGACATTGTACAAGAGATTCCTATTTTTTTATCGCAACAACTTAGTAATAATTTATACATAGTCCAGCATCCTGTGAGACCACATAATAATCCTTACACTGGAATCAATGCTCCTTGTGAAGCACGGTTTAAACAGGATTCTGTAAAATTAGAATTGGACATTCCACTTCAAACAAATTCAAAATGGTATGATCATGAAAGAGGAAAGGATTTAGCATTAGGGCTTAATGATAAAGAAGCAAAAACAATATATGATAGAACATGGCGCCGAGATCAAAGTGAAGGATTATTAGATCGACAAACTTTACAATCTACAATTGTTCCTCAACAAGCCAATTACTGGATGGGGGTAGTTAAAGATGGTGATGATTATTTATTCTTATGATTAATTGATCAATATTGTAACCAATTAATTAACTATATTCTCTTCAATTAGGCAATCTTCATTTGACGCCTATTCGTTCAACTTTTCAATTACGTCCAGGATTAAAATATTTAGATAAAATAGACGAGAAACAAAAAAATGCTAATAAAAAAGCTCAAGCTATGGAGGAAGAAGATACCAATAATGAATTTGGAAGCATTAACGGAGGAAACAAACAATCAACTGATGAATTTATTATCGGATCAAGCAAAACAAAAATTACAGGAAAAGTTAAGGTTACTTAGTAACAATAGTGAATCTCATATATATATATAAATACACATTCATTCTAAATTGTTAGTCTTCATTATAAATGATTTTTAAGGGGAAAAACACAGAAACAAATACAGAAAAATCATCAATAAAGAAAAATGTTCGTACAAATGCACAACGATTTAACGATGAAGAAAAATGGAAAAAAATGAAATATTATGATTATGATGTAAGTCGGAATAAAATTGTTGGAAAAATATTATTCTTAACATTTGTTTACTAAAATATACAATAATTATAAAAAAAATTTAAGTCATCTGAAACATTAGAAGCAGTGTTTGTGTACATTAGTACCATATGATGTAACAAATTTCAAAATACGCTTGATTTTTGTTAACGATTCTTCAATTTGAAATACAAGTTTATTTTTGAATATGCGTTTTTGATGGATAAATTTGATTGTTTTTTCTTCACTTGTTGTATAAAAGTTCACAAATGGAAAAGATGCCTGACAAATATTTAATTGTGATGCTATCATATTTTTTCATAATTCCCATATAATAATTCTCCAACTGCAGATTGGCTTTTCATAAAGCAACAAAGATTCGTGCTGTTTCATTCAGCCAAGATTCTTTTTCACGTCTGAAAAGAAATGAGCCATGAACAAGAGGAGTGATTGTTATATTTTTTCCCTATGACTCCACCAGCGATTCCGAAAAAATGTTCAGTGGTGTAAACAAGAAAAGCTGGACAGCAAGTTATGTTCAGGAGATGTGAATTACGTTTTAATTCTGTGAAATACTTTGTATAATATGTACTATACATGAAGTCGAAACTATTTCAACCATTTGCAGATCTGGTTGAAATAGGGTCGAAAATAAGGTCAAAACTGATTTTTACTATGTAGTTGCCTCAAGTCGAAACATTTTGACTTTGGGGTTTTAATTTTGACTTTCATGTATAATATGTACATACTTGTACATATGGATCATTTTGTGATTTATAGTCTTGAATTCATATATTGTTAATAATAATGTAATTCCACAAATTTCTTTCCTCCAAACCCATCTATCTAGGATTTATCATCAAAAATATATTGTATTGTGTCATGCTGAAAAAATTCACAAGCCCACTTACAAAAAATTATACGTTTTTGTTTTTCATCATTATTATTAACAAAACTACTAATTCTAGACTGTAGCTCATATGTTTTTAATTTATCATTGTCAGTTATGATGATGTTCTCACAATTGCTTAAAAATGAACCAAATATTTCATGATACAGTGTAATTGGCATGTCAAAATTATTTGCTGGTAAGCAGTTTACCATTGGTTTTATATAGGCTGATAATGTCTTTGAATAATTTTCATATTTTGCAAACTCAGATGGTGATGATTTTATCAGCTTAGCTCGTTCCTCAATGTATTCTATATCATTATCAAATTTTTGTTCAGCTAGTTGTATAAATATAGGAATAGAGAAAAGTATAAATAGATAAATAATTTATAAGACTCTGCAAAATTTATATAGTGATTTTGATGGATGAATAAGAGAAATTTGATAATATTTATAGATAAACATACACTTCCTGGTCATAAATATAAGGACAC